GATAACTAACTACAGAACAAGAGATAAGTACAACAATATATTATCGTATAATACAATAATAATGATATAATAATTACGTTCTATTATGCCCCCGCAAGATGGAGGTTCCATTGGAAACTCCCAGCTTGGATCGAAATTTCTCAAATAGTTCACGACCGAGGGGCTTAGTTAGAATGTCGGCAATCTGCAACTTGGTAGAAATATGGCAAACCCGAAGCTGTCCTTGAGCAACTAGATCACGAACAAAATAATAATCAAGAGCAAGGTGTTTCATGCGAGAGTGAAAGACGGGATTACTGCAGACATAGGTTGCCCCTAAATTGTGACAATATAAAGTAGGAGTATGCGTGACAGAAATACCAAGCTCACCCAGAAGATGTTGTACCCAAAGAAGTTCTGCAGTAGCATGAGCCACCGCCCGGTATTCGGCTTCAGTAGAAGACCGAGATACACATTTTTGTTTTGCAGATTTCCAAGAGATTATATTAGGGCCCAAGTAAAGAACGTATGCCGTAGTAGACCGTCCTTCATCATGAATGTTTTCCCAGCTGGAGTCAGAAAAAGCAGATAGTTGAAGAGGACAAGAACGGCGAAGAAATAAACCATAGTGAATGGTTCCTTTGATATAACGAAGTATACGCTTTATTGCCTGCCAATGAACTTCCGATGGAGATTGCATAAACTGTGATAACCGATTGACGGCAAAGGACAAATCCGGCCGTACGTGTGAAAACCAAATATTGAAGAAGTCCAAGAGTGCGGCGATACTGCATAGAGTCAGTGAGTGGAGAACCATCATTGACCATAATGGAGGCCGTAGAACTCATAGGAGTAGAAGAAGCTTTGACTCCCGCCATTGAGCATGTATCAAGGATATTCAGAATGTACTGCCGTTGTGAGAGAAAAAGTCCATCCTTGGTTGGTATAACCTCAATGCCCAGAAAATGATGAAGCGAACCAAGATCTTTTACCGAAAACCGAGAAGTGAGCTGGGAAATAAATTTGTTTATGGCAGAGGTAGAGTTCCCAGTAAGAACAATATCATCTACATATACTAAAAAATACAATATGACATTAGTATGAGAGTAGATGAAAAGAGAAGTATCGGCCTTGGATTTTTGAAACCCAACAGATAATAAAAAACGAGATAACTCCATGTACCAAGCTCGAGGAGCTTGTTTTAAGCCGTAAAGTGCTTTGCGCAACCTGCAAACATGAGTAGGGGCAGAAGAATCAACATAACCGGTGGGTTGAGTCATATAAACTTCCTCATTAAGTGAGCCATGCAAGAAAGCGTTGTTGACATCAAGCTGCCGAAGATCCCAGTTGCGAGATAAGGCAATAGTAAGGATGATACGGACTGTGGCGGGTTTAGTTACCAGACTGAAAGTTTCCGTGTAATCTCTGCCAGGTTGTTGAAGATAGCCCCGAGCCACCAATTGGGCTTTAAAACGATCAATTGTACCATCCGCATGGCGTTTCACACGAAATACCCATTTGCATGAGATCGGCTGTTGGGTAGTACGGGGAATAAGGTCCCACGTGTGATTCCGGCGTAAGGCCTCAAACTCAGCATCCATTGCCGCCTTCCACTTGGGGTCCTGTAAGGCATGTTTAACGTTGGTGGGTTCAATAGTCGGGTTAAGGGGATGAAGGGTGGCAGTATTAATATATGGTCCACCAAGAAATTTGGGATTTGGTTTACGATTTCATAGTGGCCGCATTTGGTTGGGAGATGGGTCGGTGGAATTGGATGGAATAGATGAGGTGGGAGGGATAAAGGCCACGTGGTCTGGGAAAGAATGAGGTTGGCTTAGAGCATCTTCAATGGTAAAATGTGCACGGTGCACATGTGGCATGAGAGATAACCACATATATACTAGAAAATTAATTATTTCTCTCCTTATTTGAATAAATTTTTTCAGTTTTGGTAAGTTTTTCTCCACAATGTCAAGGAGACCGTCTAGATTTGACATTGCAGTTGACATTGCAGGAAAAAACATACCAAAAATGTATAAAATCATTCAAATAAGGAGAGAGATAATTTATTTGCTAATATTTATGTGGCTATCTCTTATGCCACATGTGCACCGTGCACATTCTACCATTGGTGATGCTCTTACAGGAGAGGATAGGGTGACAGTTGGCTGATTATTAGGAGAATTTAAATTTTGAGTGGGTGGAGCTAAAAGGATAGGGATTGATGAGGATTGAGGACCGAGAGCAGGGGAAGACGTTACGCATGCGGAGGATCTGGGTTGACTACCATGCACCATAGACGAACATAGAGACGTGTCACATGTACCATGCAACATAGACTCACAAGGTTTTATACGAAACGGAAAACATTGAGAGACAAACCGGACATGACGAGAATGATACACACGACCAGTAGCATAATCAAAACATAAATATGCAGAGTATCCCAGAAAGACACAAGGCGTAAACTTGGGTTGCGTTTTATGGGAGTTATATGGTCGTAGCCATGGATAACAAAGGCAGCCAAATGGTTTAAGTTTAGAGTAATTAGGACATTTGTGATATAAACGGAAATAAGGAGTGTCATTCTGGAGGACGGGGGTTGGTAACCGGTTAATTAAATACACGGCTGTTTGAAATGCATATGGCCAATAAAGTATAGATAGACCGGCATAGTGAAGTAATGCGAGCCCGGTGTCAACTATGTGACGATGCCGGCGCTCGGCAAGACCATTATGCCCCGGAGTATGTGGGGGAGTAGTATAGTGAGATATACCATGAGAATTGAGATAGTGTCGGAGTTTAATATATTCACCTCCGTTGTCAGAAAAAATTGATTTAATCGAAAGATTAAAAAAAAATTCAACAAAACTTTGAAATTGTGGAAAAATAGTGAACACTTCGGATTTTTGTTTAAGTGGATACAACCAGATATACCGAGTGTAATAATCAACAAAAATGACATAATATTTATGACCATCAAGAGACACATCAGAAGTACTCCAAACATCCGAATAGAGCAATTCAAGAGGACGAGTGGCAGTCATGAAATTGGTAAAAAATGGTAATTTAGTGCTTTTATTAATATAGCAAGAATTACAAGGAACTTCATCAGACACATTAAAGGGAAAGACATGTTTATTTTGACGAACTAAAGTAGAGAAAACACGTTGAGACGGATGACCCAAAATATGATGCCATGGCACGGAGACTTGAGTAACATGAGCTTGTGGTGAACACGGAATTGGTGCATAGTAGACGTCATTAACGTTCTCCCCTCGCATGAGTGGTGCCCCCGAGACTCGGTCCTTGACAACAAAATAAGAAGGAAAAAATTCAACAGAAACATGATTAGTTTTGCATAATTTTGCTATGGAGATTAAATTTTTATTTAATTGCGGAACACATAGAATGTTAGAAAGTGACAGGGAACGAGTAGAGGTAGGAAGAGAGGTGGCTCCAGTGTGGGTAATGGGTAGGGACTTACCATCACCAAGATGAACTTCCTCAGGACCGCCATAGTCGGTATAGGACGGCAAAGCGGATGCATCGGAGGTCACATGATGAGACGCACCGCTATCAAATAGCCATGGCTGACCGGCAGGAGATGTTGACGTGGTAGTGTGATGGACCGCAGGGGTAGATGAATAAGGGACCTGATTATCCTTAAGGAAGCGTTGTAACTTCCGGCACTGCTTCACATCATGTCCAAGGTTATCGCAAAAACGGCACAACAAGGTGGTGTGTTGACGTGAATTGCTGGGGTAGGGGCCACCATGTCCACGACGAGCCTGAACGCCTCGACGATCACCAGAATGAGACGGACATCGGGTAGTGGGTCGCTCACTGGATTGCGTGACATTGGCAGTAGGAAGAATGGAATTGGCAGCTTGTGTTGCCTCTTCGAGATGAGCTTCATGTTCAAGAAGAATATCTTGAAGTTCAGCAAGGGGTAGAGCCAAGGTACGAACACGGATAGCAGATCTCAGTTCACTGTAGTCGGAACCAAGGCCATTCAAAATGTTGATGACCAGATCCTCATCAGATAGAGGGTTTTGAGCAAGCGCAAGGGCTTCAGCAAGAGCATACATCTCGGCTAGATAATCTGGGATAGATCGAGATCCCTTCTTGGTGCGTGCCAAAGTGGTCTTGAGAGAAATTATACGACCACGGGACGTACTTGCGTAGGTGAGAGCAAGTTTCTCCCAAGCCTGCCGAGCAGTAGTGGCAGAGGAAATGATAGGTTGAATCGTGTCAGAACAGCTTCTGAGAAGAGCACTCAGAATCGTCTTATCTTGACGATACCAGGTAGTGTAGCAAGGATTAGGTTGGGTTTTGGCGGTATCAAGAAACTGATCTGGAGTTTGAACGGTACCATCAACGTAAGCATCGAGACCAAGACCAACCAATGCAGAATGGACTTGACATTTCCAAACAGGAAAATTGGATGAAGTGAGCTTAATGGGAAAATTGGCAGTGGCGGTAAGGGGAACAACAGTGGTGGTGGCAGTGATAATCATGGTGGAAGAGAATGACGGGAAAAAAATCAATAGCTATGCTCGTTAGAGAAGAAGGCTCTGATACCATAAAAAGTATTGTTGTGTTGTATATTATTATGATGAGCGAATGCTCATTATATACAATTGTCTGATGTACATGATAAGAAGGTTGAACAACCGTAGCTATTCTAAAGGGATAACTAACTACAGAACAAGAGATAAGTACAACAATATATTATCGTATAATACAATAATAATGATATAATAATTACGTTCTATTAGTGCCTCTCTCAGAATTGGAGCCCAATGTGGATAATATGGATCGGAAAGGCGAGGAACGGATGGTGATTTTACAGAATCGATATTTGGTTTCTCTTCCATGCACTTTTCTACATGCAAGCCAGGGTTTTCCTTTGGTATACGTAATGCTTGTGGTTGGACATTTTTTTCTCATCCGTGTGCCTCTCAGCCTCTTATAAATACTGTGTTGAAAGGAAGAATGTTTCAACTCTTACCGGTGTGGGACGAACATGTTCGTGTATGTGGAAAATAAAAACAACAAAGTTGACAAGGACAAAGGCTACTGCGGACGATAACCCTTGAGAATTCAGCTGCACCACATATATTGAATGTTTGAATATGTTTTTTTTGCGGGAAATAAAAAATTTATTAGAAAAGGAGAAAAATAAAGTACACAAGAAGGGAAAAAACAAAAGAGAAAATAAAAAAAGAAACGGAAATTAAAGATAGAAATAACCCAACCCAGATTACATACAACGAAAATCACCCAAGAGACCCAAATAGCTCAATCTTGACGGTTGAACTCCACTCGTGATTGGGATCTAGTCCTCATGCTATGCGATCGCTAGTGCCTTTTCCTGTATAGTTTAATTTGAGTGTTTAAATTCGATGTAGGCAAACAATTTTCCATTGTGACCAATCTCGCTTCATTACAGATATCCTGATTTGCATCAGAATCCCATAGATCTTCCCTCGATGACAGGGTAGTCCTTTTTTCACTTTCTGAAGCATGGCCAAGGAAATCATCCCCCGAGAACGGATAGCTTTGTTCAGTCTCATCATCAAGCGCAACAGAGTGCTGATTACCTAAGAAAATTCCCCTCGAAGAGTCAGCCTCCATCATATCACAATCTGAAAAATCTGAGTGCTCAAAGAGCCTATCAACTCGAGCTGCTTTGAAACTAGTATTAAACTCAGCATCCCTCTTATCCGTACTGCATTGTTTAGAAGCAAGCCCACCCGTATGTGAATTGATATTCACTCCTTGGCTCTCTGGAAGGTGTGTAATGATGCAATCATATTCTTTGGAGAGAAAAGATGACAGATTAGCCACACTCGAATTCATTGTATCTTGAAAAAATAACTTCAACTCTGAAATAGAAGAGTCTAATGCGGCACAAATATGAGAAGAGTCATATGCATCGGTTGTATTAGAAAAGCTCGAAGTATCGACCATACGCTCAGAATATACCAAATAAGCGCGCATTAAAGAATCTGAGATTGTGAGCTCTTTAGCATCCTGATACTCCCTCCGTCCCTAATTGTTGTTCCAAAGTAAAGTGGCACGGTGATTAAGAAAGTGGGAATTGTGTGGTGGAGAGTTGTGCAAAGGAGAGAGAAATGCTGTGAACCACAAGTTCTTTGCCAAAAAGGGAAAGTGAACTTCTTTTTGGGACGGACGAAAAGGGAAAGTTGGAACTTCTTTTAGGGACAGAGGGAGTAGAAACAAATCCCATCCATACGATCAATAACAAGCTTAACTATCTCATCTGAGCCAAACTCTTTGTGTTTAAAAGTTTGTGAGAGCGGCGGCACTTGAGGAGCCAATTCTCTCAATCTGATAATAGCTTGTGAAAGACTTGATGTGAACGAAGTAATGCCGGTTCCATTTATGCCCTCCGGTATGAATAAAGAATCATCTCCTGAAAAAATTCTAACAAAACCCCCAAAATAATTACCATCAAAAGTGATTGTAATATGTTTGTTAAGAATGATTCTGGACAGGGATTTTCCAGGCAGAAGCTTTGGTAGAGATGAGCTCAACCAAGTGGCACCATCAAGATCAAATTCAATAATAGAAAAAAGTCCATGTTTACTCTCTCTAATGGAAATGGATGAATTTGATATATTGAAAGAGAAATGTTTACTTTCAATATCAATAAAGAGTGTCCAATTGTCCATTTTAGATTGAAACCCCAATGGCTGAGCTTTGTCGTTGAAGGTTGTCCCGCATTTCACATGAGCAGGAGGATTCCTTTGGCGATGTCGACCTGCAGGAGAAGTCTGGACAGAAAAAGGCCTGCCCAGAATTTACTATTATTACACATGCATATCAATGATATCATTGTCACTATTATTAATAATTATGAGATCATTATTATAATCATTATTACTAATATTTTGTTATTAGTAATATTGTCATTATTAACCTATTCTTAATTTCTTACCTGCTCTTCATTTTTATGAAGTATATGTGTATAAAATACGTGTCATGTTTTGAATTCTAGAAGCTTGTTTGAATTGGAAAATGTAACAGCTATGGATTATGATGTTTTGCAAGATACGGAGTACTTTCTAATACTCCGTATAACATTTGTGCATATGGGTATTTTTAAAATATTACTGGAATAATATTTGTGTAATAATGAGAATAAGTAAGGTTGAAGTTACTTTTCTTGCTAAAATGACTAAAGTTATTGTAGAGGACCGTTTAACTATTTATTTTTATCTTTTTTATATTTCATATTGTTTTTATAAATCTGCTAAATAAGTCAATCCAGTCACTTCAGCCGAAACTTCACAAATTTCTCTAAAAGTTGATTTAGTCAATTTCAGTATTACCAAACGAGCTCTAAATATGTCTAGTATAAGGGAAAAATATTGATGAATCTAAGTCTTTTAAAACTTTGTCAAGTTTGACTGGTATGTAGAATAATAAAGTAAAAATATGTGGTTGACGTATTTGTTAAAGAGAGAGAATTAACAGGAACCACAAGTTTTTTTGTTTAAAAAGGAAAGTGGCCAGTCAAAGTTAATGTGACAACAAGAAAAGAAATATTGACAAAGTTATAAGGAAAATGGAGAATATCTCTTTTAGGGGTATCAAACTGAGGAATTATTACTACAAAAAGTGCAAGGTGTACACGGTACACCTTTTTGTGTACACTATTCGTGCATTTTATTTGTTTACACAGACAGAGTTGCATGTAAATAAACAAATTTCATATTCCCTAATAAATTATTTGTATATAGATAACACTGTCTGTGCAAATAGACAAAATGTGCGAATGGTCTACACAAAAAGATATATACCAATCATCATCATCATTATATGAGAAAAGGTACAAATATATCCTTGTAGTAGGGATATGAGAACAAATATATTCTTGTTCTATTTTATGGAGCAAATATACCCATGTAGTTTATGTAGATGTACATATATACCCCTTAACTTTTAAAAGCTACAAATATACCCCTTATAGACTTTGAAAAAATAAAATAAAATTTAAAAAACACTAAAAATAAACAATAAATTCGAAATTTAAAGCTAAAAAAATTAAAGATTCAAAAATAAATATTTGTTTTTATGTTAAATATTAATTCTTTAATTTTAAATTGGAAAATTATTATTCTTCCGTTGTAAATGAAGCACTTCAAATTCCTAAATATTAATTTTACTGTTGTTGCGAAATTTTGAACACATTGTTACATTTTTGAAATAACATTCTTTGAGTTTGTTCAACCTTAATAAAATTAAGTTCACTATTTTGTAATTTTGGAATATTATCATCATACAAAATACTCCATATATAATTTTAGTGCAAAGAATAAAAAAAATTAATGATTTTTTTTTTACGTTGCAACACATATATCAACTCTTTTTCGAAAGAACTTAATATATAGTAAAGTTTTGAGAAAATATTTTATGCTAACATTATTAAATTGTGATATAATAAAAAAATAAAAGGAGAGTACGTTGGACAAACATTATTTTCCAATTACAAAATTTATAATTATTTTTTTATGTTTTTTGAAATTTATTCTATCTATTTATTAGAACATGAGAGATATTTTTGCACCCTTTAAAAGTTCAGAGGTATATATACACTTTCACATTAATTTAGGAGTATATTTTTCAAAAATAGAACATGTGTATACCTGTTCCCACATTTATATTAGAAGAGTATATTTGCACCTTTTTCCCTATTTTATATTCCAAAAAGTTGAATATCCAACCTAAGGGCTTCCCACACCCCAGCCTGACAATAGATTTGGGAGGTTGTAAATCACGGTGACTCATTTAGCCCAATGGTGATAGACCCTAATCCGTGCACACTAGATGACCGTCTGGCCCATGAGACAAGAGCCGTAACTTTCATACAGGCAAAACAGGTTTTAATCCTTAGTCAATGTTCCAAATTTATCAACAGTTAACCATTTGAGCTATCCGTACAGCCAATACGGGTCCATTTTATTGGCAAATTATACCGTGGGATCGGTACACCATGCACATGGTGTATCGATCCCAAAACTACGTAGTATTGTTAATTAAAAAAGCAAGAAACCCTAGTCAATAAAAATTTGATGCCGACTTAAGGTGAGCAGAGGCCGATGTGATGTTGCAAATATTTCTTCGTCCATGCTTATTACGTTCGCTCAGGATTCTGGGAAACAGTTGTAGTAATTTCTATTGCTATTGAAGCAACTTGTGAGATTAAAGATTCTGAAATTTTGATTTAGGGGTGTTTGGAACTGTTTCTGCTTCTTTTTTAAAAGCAGAATCAGAATCAGTTTTCAGAAGCCGGTCTCCCCCAGCTTCTAAAAAAACTGATTCTAGGAGTAAATTAGAGTACCAGAATCACTTTTGCACTTTCACTCAAATACTCCAACTTCTGCTACTGCTCAATGAAGGAGCAGAAACAGTTTTAAGAATCAGATCCTTAGCTCCACTTACTCTTCTAATTTTCTCCACTCCCTCTTTTCTTCAACGATCTGGAAGACTGGAACTGAGGCAGTGAGGTTTGAGCCTTCTCCTTTGGTTTTACGGGGGCGTGTGCATGCGTATATTGTGTGAATACGTATATTATGATTTATGAAGTACTATCTATATATGTATATGGCTTCATCCCCAAACAGTCGGCCAACTTTGGTATTGGAAAATTTACACATTGAAGATGACTAGTTGACTACTATAAATTATTTTAGACCTTCCTTAAATTACATTTCGGACAAACTCAAGTTACATCAGGTTTTGTCAGAAGTTATATCTTATACCATAAGTTATAGTCAATTTTTTTAACAAGTTACATAATGTTTACATTTTATTTACATTTTCCAAAACGTGTGTTACACCACAATCTAATGCGAGTTACACAACACAATAAGCCCTTGCAATTCAAATAAAAATTATTTTTATAAAAAAATCATTTCTATAGCCCTGATATTAAAAACAAAACATATACACTATTTATGTAAAAAATTGGTCAATTAGACACCTTTTCATCGAAATCAATATTCTATTTTTTATATTATGTATTGGACAAGTTATACTTCGACTAGACTCGAGTTACATTCATCAATGATGTGAATTACATTTCTTTATACGTGAATTACATCATTCTGCTACTGGTACAAGAAACAAATAAAAAAAAGTATTGCACGCATGTGTACTGTTCACGCGATTTTTTTTTAAATTGATTAAAATGACGTCTTTCTGGACATGGAGCACGGTGCTCACCGTGAGATGATCCCACAATATACGCACTGCATTTTATTTAAGGTAGATTCTATGATACCCATAAGGTACCGTACCTTTGTCCACATGGACCAATCAGAATCATGCAGTTGAATTATTTAAATCTAAATTAAAAGGGATTTAATGATTTGGACCAATCAAATGCATGGTAGGTACGATACCCCATTTTTTAAACGGGTACCGGAGTTGTCACCTTTATTTAATTATTTAATAGGGACTACTTCCTTCTTTCCATAAGACTTTGGGGTCGTTTGTTTTCGGCGGATTGCACCTTTCCCGCTGCATTTTGCAGCATTTTCACGCATAAAATGATCAGCGGCTTCATCCATCCGCTAGTATTCAAACAAGGTTTTTTTCATTTTCAAAATTTTAACAAACTACACATAAAATTTTATTTATAGTACGACTATGTTTTTTGGGGGAGATACTAGTAAAAAGTAGAGATGACAATTGTGACCGATCCGATGGATACCCGCACCAAACCGCCCCGGTCAAAACGGGAAAAACCGCTTTGACCGGGTAACGGGTACGGGGCGGGGAATACCCGTTTTATTTTTTTACGGGTAATGGGGCGGTTACGGTTTTATACATGCCTGCCCCATTACCTGCCCCGTACCCGCCCCGTTTATTTTTTAGTTATATTTTACTACATTCTTATCTATTATTTGTCCCACAACTAATAAAAGATGATATTTTTCAATTTTCATTGGTATATATGGATAATAGATGTACTAACTATATAGACAATAGTGTATGAATTTTGTTCATAATAGATCTTAATAGTCTTTTTTTATTATAATCAGATTTTTTCCGTGATTAATTATTTTTCAGATCAAGTATTTTTATGTTTAAATTAATTTAGGTTGTTTTCTTTCTCGTTTTGTAGATATACGAAACTTTAAAATGACGTCTGAGTCTAAAGTCGTCTAGGTGATGCCATTTTTCACCTTTTAAAATATTATTTTTATATTAAAATATCAATGACCCATTTAATAAAGCGATTACGCGCGGTTACCCGCGGTTATACCCGTTACCCGTTGGGGCGGTTATGGTTTGAATAAAAAATACTCGTTGGGTAATGGGGCGGTTATGGGGCGGAGGAATTATCAAACGGGGCGGGTACAGTTATATGTAAAACCGTCCCCGATCCGCCCGTTGCCATCCCTAGTAAAAAGTTATTGAAGTGGGGTTTCAACAACCTATTTCGTCCAGAATTATGAACCACACAATCAAGACGCAACATTGTCGTCGAACTAGCATTGTGATCCTATCTGACACATGTCATCCGATCGTTGGCCTGACATTCCAACTCAGCAATCACCTTCACCCAAACCGAAAACCTTTCCAGATCACAAGTTTCAGAGGTTTGGCAATCCGCAAGCTTTCCATCAATCCTCCAACACACCAGAGAGAAATCAGTAGTCGCCATTGCTCATAATCGGATCTGGATTTCATGATATGGAGGCGGTCAATGCACTGAAGTTGACTCCACTCTCCATTCATTCTGAGACCAGAAGGATCAAACCCAGAAAAATCCAACTTTTCCCTGTGAAGAGCCTCTCTTCTTCAAGTTCCGCAAAGGGTTTATCCAGAAACGCTAAAGCGACTCTCTTTCTGCTGTCTTCTATTCTGAACTCCGCCTCAGCTAAAGCACTGACGTACGAGGAAGCACTTGACCAGTCAATGAACAGCGTCGGCGCTGACTTCGATGCAAGTGGGGTTGTGGAAACAGTGACCAGATTCGCCAGTGACAATCCGGTGTTTCTCGCCGGCGGCGCCGCAATCTTGGCGGTCCCACTCATAGTATCACAGATGCTGACCAAGCCTAAGCCATGGGGGGTCACGTCAGCAAAGTATGCTTATGCTAAAATGGCTGAC